GCTGACACTCACTGCAGCGAACCGACCGACAAGGTAGCCGAACTCCACTATCTACGGCGGATGTTCACCTCCAACGGCTACCCCCGCAGCTTCATAGAACGCAGCAGACAGTCCAGACCAACCGTAAAGTCAACGGCAAATCAGCCGAAAGTCTGGCGAGCGCTGCCATATATTGCGAACGTTTCCGAGGCAGTTGCTCGTATCTTGCAACCATTAGGTATCGGCATCGCCCACAAACCCGAAGCGACAATTAGACGTTTGGTCATGAGACTAAAAACGCCTCTGCCACGAGGCGAAACTGCCAACGTCGTCTACCGGATCCCGTGTAGTTCGTGTGAGGCAAACTACGTTGGAGAAACCGGGAAGAGATTGCAGACCCGCACGGACGAGCACGCAAGAGCGGTAAGAAGAATGGATCAGCTCTCGTTGGTGGCAGACCATTGCGCAGCTTTTGGCCACGCCTTCGCCTTCCAAGACGCCGAAGTCTTGGGCCAAGGGAGCGATCAAACGGTCAGGGAGACACTCGAAGCCTGGCACACCACAACTACCTCAATCAACCGATGCGTAACTCTGCCGGCTGCCTACCAAGCCCTACGGGTGAAGTTCAATAGGCAGGGCTACCGACGAGTCGTCAGGCCAGTGACGACAGTAATCAAACCCGGACCAAGCGGGAACGAGGACGGGCATAGACAGGCACCGGGAACGAACGAAACCGGGGGACAACCGGCGGCGAACGCAAACCCAGGAGACCGCCTTCTGGGTCCGAACACAGACAGACGCCAGCACTCGATGAGAACGCCCGACAGTGACAAAACCCCCCAGCCCGACGTCAACCCTGGCATGACAACCACCGTCAACACGGCTACGGGCAGGTGTGAACGGGACAGCGAGACGAGATCGCAAGACAGCAACAGGACCACGCGGCCCGACGTCAACAGTGGCGTGACAACCACCGTCCACGCGGATACCGGCAGGTGCGAACGGGACAACGAGACGAGATCCCCAGACAGCGACAGGACCCCCCAGGCCGACGTCAACAGTGGCATGACAACCACCGTCCACGCGGATACGGGCAGGTGCGAACGGGGCAGGAAGGCGAGATGCGTCGAGGGCGGACAACGGACAATACAAACAAGAGCAATGGCCGCAGTCACCCCGGCGCCGCCTCCCTCCCCACACGCGACAAAGGATGAGGAGGAACCGATGCCGCCATGACAACCATCGCCATACCGTGTGATGCAGCGCGCTGGAAGTCAGTGACACGCCAGCACGAAAGAAAAACCCTTAAATACTGTGACGTGCCGTACGCAAACCACCTCTGATAATGGAAGCTTGTTTGCTTTCGAAACGTCACGCGAATATACTTATGGTTCCTGCGATCGCCTTATCTTCTCAGTTAAATCCGGGAACGCGCATTTTCGCTTCAATCAGCAATATATATATATATATATCAAAGCGGATATGACAGAGTCTGGGAGGTAGATTGATACAGCACTGTTTCGGACTTGTTTGTCTTCATTCAGGCAACCATAACCCTGGCCACCATCTGGGACCTGAAACACATGCATGCGCACAGACGCACCTGGCGCATCTGGTCCACCACTGGGGTCTACCAGATGGGTCATAAGCACTTCATCTAATCGAAGTTCATCAGTGCCTCGCCATCATTATATATATATAGTGGGTGACCTATCTCATGAAATGTTGGCTGAAATTCTGAAACGCGTTTTCGATGAGGAAGGATTATTTGGTCGCGGTTGTTATACTGCTTATCTTGTAGCATACTCTTATAACATTTCGGACTCGGCAGATGTCGGCTTTTAAATGCACTTCTTTTTAATCTCCTGTAGAAAGCGTGCTCGGTAAAAAATGACTACATATGTAGCATGCATTTTTCCCATTGATTTTCGGTGGTCTTGGAAATTCAAATATATTTTATAGAAACCACAAACAAAAATATGCTTTCTTTTAGTCAATCAATAGGAAATCACGTCTTCTTTACATTTTATACTTAAGAAAGGAGTATAATAAGGTTTTGAAAAAGTTTCTAATTATGAGACTTTTTAAGACCGCGATATATCCATTCACATAGCATCGTACCTGGCCGTTTACCACTGCTCCTCATGAAATCTACAACATGGTCCGCATCCATTGCAAAATGTTATGGACCCTGTATGATATCTCTTTAATGACATAGAAAAATATGGGATTTTCTTTACGCAGAAGACATGCACCTTGTAGAGTGTAATCACTAAGCGCTAATGCAACGAATGATCAGGTTGCAAATTTTTCGGCAATAAAAAAACTTTTTTAAAACCTAAATATGCTCCTTTCTTAAGTATAAAGTTTAAAGAAGACGTGATTTCCTATTGATTGACTAAAAGAAAGCATATTTTTGTTTGTGGTTTCTATAAAATATATTTGAATTTCCAAGACCACCGAAAATCAATGGGAAAAATGCATGCTACATATGTAGTCATTTTTTACCGAGCACGCTTTCTACAGGAGATTAAAAAGAAGTGCATTTAAAAGCCGACATCTGCCGAGTCCGAAATGTTATAAGAGTATGCTACAAGATAAGCAGTATAACAATTGCGACCAAATAATCCTTCCTCATCGAAAACGCGTTTCAGAATTTCAGCCAACATTTCATGAGATAGGTCACGCAATGTATGCACATTTAATGGTCGGGGGCGCTAACCGATCGTTCATACGGAACTCATTCGCTCCGTTGTGCCTTAAGGGCTTTCTCTCGAGCCCAACCAGCAGCCGCACAGCGGCGCATGATATACAGGCAGAATGGTATTACCGACAAAGAAAGAGCCAAGAGAGCCCTTAATGCACAACGGAACGAGTGATTTGTGTATGAACGATCGGTGAGCGCCCCCTAACATTGTATATTCCCGATCGAAAACCGACAGGGCAACGGGCTCGTGGCCCGGTGGGTAGAAGCGTGGACTTCTAAACCAACAGGTCGCGAGTTCGAGGCTTGGGTGTTCCACACCTCGGGCTTGGGTATGACTGGCTGACGACGTCTAATAAGCCAGAAGTGGTCATCCCAGTCTGCCTTTTCTTTGTCGGTAATACCATTTTGCCTATATATCTGTATATATAAGTCTAGTGGGCGCTCACCGATCGTTCATGCGGAACTCACTCGTTCCGTTGTGCCTTAATGGCTCTCTCTTGAGCCCAGCCAGCAGCCGCACAGCCGCGCACCATATATAGGGAGAATAGTATTACCGACAAAGTCAAGGGATACTGTAAATTGCGTCTTCTTCCAATTTTATACTCGAGAGAAATCTCTAATTTGGTTTTTAAAAACTTTTCCTATTCCCGAATTATTTTGACCAAGCTCTATTGGAACGTTTAGATTCAGGGTTTCCAAACTACTAGCCGTATATTTTCTGCGTACGGAAAACCACACATGTATCTACGGTAATAAAGGGTAACCATATATAATTCATAAAATTAAGCGGTGGATTTGATCCTTATTGTTAACTTTTTTAAATGCAGAGACATGATAATTTATGAACGGCCATTTCACGGTACTTAAAAGTCTCACAATTAGAAACTTTTTAAAACTTAATTATGTCCCTCCTTCGACAATAAAATTAGAATAAGACATAATGTACTAACGAATGCTCAAAAGAATGAATATTTTTATGTATTGTTTCCATGAATACTAATTGGACTTTTGGGGCATTGAATATCGATGAAAGAAATTCATGCTAATAAGTATTCATTTTCTACAGTGTTGATTTAGCATGCAGCCGGAAGGAAATGTATTCGAAAGCCGGCATCGTGCGGTAGCTGAAATATTAGTAGGAAACATCTGGATAAAGCATAATTTGGAATGCAGCAATAGAATTAAAAATAAGCGTACAATCAAGAGTAATTTACAGTAGCGCTGCTCTTAGTTTATGCCATTTATACAACATGCTATCTCATCATCCTTTCACCTGCGAGGTCTGTAGAGGAACACCGACGCTAGACATCACAGTTTTATTATTTGAAAGTCGTTTTCACAGCCTGCAAGGTTGCTTGGAAATCTTCAGCGCACGTGAAAAGGAACTAATGCCTCTTAAGGAGTATTGCTGACTACTAACTCATCAATACGTGCAACAGTCTGTGTATGACATTTCAAATCTAATCGTTAAATGCAGCTACAATAATCCTCGTATCGAAATCAGAATAACAATCTAACCTTTGGAAATAAACCCATGCTTGGTTTTGCGCATGTATGAAAGAGATTACGTAAATGTATTCTACACTTCGAGCGTGGTTTCATTCGTGGTGGTTCAAGTGCCTCAGAGCATGGAAAGACAAGTCTCTGAGCACAGTGGAAACTAAAAGAGACGCCTAACTGGCCTTTTCCGTTTGTCAAATGTGTTTTTACGAATGCGAGTATCTGAAGACGGCATCACCTGTGAAAGTTGCAAATTACCAACCAGTAGGAGACTCCAGGCTAGACTTCGCATGTTTTTTTCGGAAGTTGTATTCACAGTCCATTAGGCTGTTTGAAGATATCTACAGCACGTGAAAAGGGAACTAATTCCGACTTAACTCTCCAACCGCGGGTTCGCGGTCGCACCACGTGAACCTTCAGGGAAAGATATCAAGTTTCCTGCCAATCAGTTGGAAAACGCCTTGGCTTTTGGCATCTGAGAGAAGGAGAAGTCTCGTCATCTTTTGTTATGTGAGATAAGAAAAGGGAACAACCTCACGCACATAAACCGACAATTGGATGGCTTGCCGGTTGTTTTGTCAGTCTCCATCGTCGCTGTGAAACTTTCACATTACCAGACAAAGGGAACTGACAAAGGGAAATGTTTATGAAAACATCCACGAAAGTGCAATTGCGTAGTTGAATATTCCTGGGAAATAATTTCAAGTGCCCTATCTGCAGAATTAATATTCGTCCGTGCCAATAAATTTCTGACTGATTAAGCGCACGTATGATGGCAATAGGTGAGTATATTTTAGGTCAGAAAATTTCAAGTGTAATAGGCAATGCCTTTTGTATACCCTATAGCCCACTGTCATATATTGCGGCACGTTTTCTGAGCATGAACTGTTGCAATGAGGTGAAACCGCTGAAACATAAAGTCTACAAATTGACGTCCCGCTGTCCTTCTCAACCCCCATCTTGATTTGAGCCTCTTTAAGCAACTAACGCGTTCGTCTTCACTCGGCATCTCCAGCGTGTGAAACACGCATCGGTTCATAACGGAACGGTAGGAACCACGGGACGACTTCAGCTACGATGACAATCATGTGACGTCGCGCATTATGAAGCCTTTTTGACCTGCAGCTGCTCCACTGGAGCCTCCCACGCCAGTAGCGTTCAGATGTGCGACGAAGTAACGTGAGTAGTAACTATGTAAAATGCTGTCACCTCCCTAAATTTCCTGCCGCATATACACCGGCCTACATCTTCATGTGTAACTCTGCGCCCATGTTACTTATAGTACCTTAATGTTTCATGTTTCGACCTGACCCTCCATCTTCATATAGATCGAGTGACCCCGCACGGTGGCAGGCATAAAAATCACACCTATGCTCGTCAGATGATGACTATTGTTCTGATTTTCCATGAGGACGGAATCGGCAGAGTAGGCCTCTTGCTCTCTATCTCATTGAAGTGTTAGCGGTTTGTGCGTGACAAGCTGACTGGGAATGGCATCAGCGTAACGTCTTTCCGGCCAACTTATACGGCACACGACCTAGCTTCCGACTGTACGGATGTCAATCTGCAATAATTGGCATGTCCCGCATGCAAGTGCGGTTGGCGTACTCATCCGCATGGTTTTTCTACCGTCAAAGCGGCACTTACGATCTGAACGAAACCAGTACACACCGCAAGGATGAATCATGCACGATTGCTGGTCGGTCTCGTTTGTGGGCTTGTTTGGGAGTAATCCATTCAGAGTCTGCTATTGCGTGTATGTGCAACTGAGGCGACATTTGTGACAACTACCCGACAATGTCATCAGCCAATATAGGAAATGGAAATATATGTGGCAAATGCATTTTTGGAATCCCGACACTGTTTCACTGGACTTAGTATAAGGATTTGGCATGTGATTGATAAGATGGACTGCGTGATACGGAAGCGCAATCGCGTTCGGAGAGGTGGGGAAAAAATCACTAACAGTGTCCTAAATGCTCACTGTCAGGGTGACTCCGATGGCAGGAATGAGTGCATTTTCGTTGGA